ACTTGGTATTGAAACTCAGATAAATATACACAAGTTACTGTAATAAGCTGCTGTAGGAACAAACTCGGAGAGAACAATAAACTGTTGACACTGATATATACCTCGCCTTCATGTAGTTTTGATAGTATAATGCAAATGTTGAAAAATTTCAAAGTCAATACTGACAATAGACCCCATTACTGTGCCAAATAATCTCAATGAATATGGTATGTTCAATGCTAACACAACTGCATTCCAAATATCTTTCATTTACCATTAATTGTTCCCCTTAAACTGTCCTAATCACAAATTTTAACATGTTTTACATGTAAATTATGCAAAAATTTCAATAGACCATGACTGAGAAGGTGGGGTCGAATAATCTCCATGGAAATGAGATGTGCCAATGCTTATACATCTGCATACCAAATATCATTGACATGCACCTAGAGGTTCCCCTTATAATGACCCAATTACACACTTTAACATGTAAACTAAGCAAAAGTTTCAAAGTCTAATACCATGACTCAGGGGGCAGGGGAAAATTATCTCCTTGGAAATGAGATATGCCAATGCTAATACAACTGCATACCAAATATTTTTGACCTATCCATATTGGTTCCCCTTAAAATGACCTAATCACAGACATGTACATTGTTGATGCTGCCACCAGAAACAACACACCTGAGTCTTGCTTATTCAACTTTTTGGATGCAAAACAAAAATAATGCCCTATACACTTAAAAAATAATATTGTTCCACACTAAATTAAAAAGCAGGTTCTGATTATATATCTCATGCTACAAATAAGAAGGGGTATAATGCTTTTAAACTGTTTAGTACATCACTCTGACTCATTGAATTTTGGTTTCCAGATGATTGAGAATCTTACTTTGGATTGAAATCTGACTTAGATTTGTACTAACATATCCAAAACTAGTGTAGAAAAGCAGTTTCTGGATGGTTACTCAATGTAACAATTGATTTTGTGGTTAATACATCCAAGACCAAGATCAATTACAATAAAATGCTCCGCTGGGGCGCAGCTTGATACGACCGCAGAGGTCGAACCCTGAACAGTTGGGGCAAGTATGGACACAACATTCAAGCTTGATACAGCACTGAATTTGGATTGTAATTAAATATTTGACACAGCATAGGTTTCTGACACAGAATGAATGTGGTCTAAGAACTTAAAAAAATTTTAATTTACCTATTCAAACCATATCATTATTATTTGCTTTTATATATAAATCAGAAATAACCAATTTAAAATAGAAAATTTTAAAGAAAAAAAAGGAAAAAAAATCCCCCCCTCCAAATTTTTTGAACCCCCTTATGATTCATCACCCCCAAACTCAATCCCAGCCTTCCCTTTGTGGTATGGTACCTTGCAGTACAATTTCAGAGAGATCCATACACTTGAACACAAGTTATTGTCTGGAAACTAGAAAAATGCTTGTTTTTTGGCCCCAAATTCCTAAACGTTTAGGGCAATTACCCCCAAACTCAAACCCAGCTTTCCCTTTGTGATATGGAACCTTGTAGTACAATTTCATAAAGATCAATACTTACAAACAAGTTATTGTCCTGAAACTAGAAAAATGCTTGTTTTTTGCCTCTTTTTGGCCCCTAATTTCTAAAATTTGGAGGCAATTACCCCCAAAATCAATCCCAGCATTTCCTTTGTGATATGGAACCTTGTGGTACAATGTCAGAGAGATCTATACACTTACACACAAGTTATTGTCATGAAACTAGAAAAATGCTCGTTTTTTGCCCCTAATTCCTAAAATTTGGAAGCAATTACCCCCAAAATTAATCCCAGCATTCCCTTTGTGATATGGAACCTTGTGGTACAATTTCATAAAGATCCATACACTTACAAACAAGTTATTGTCATGAAACTAGAAAAATGCTTGTTTTTGGCCCCTAATTCCTAAAATTTGGAGGCAATTACCCCAAAAACTAATCCCAGCATTCCCTTTGTGATATGGAACTTTGTGGTACAATGTCAGAGAGATCCATACACTAACAAACAATTTATCCCCACCTTCCTTTTGTGGTATTGAACCTTATGGTAAAATTTCATAGAGATCCATTCACTTAAACTAAAGTTAGAGAGCGAAAACCAATGTGTCTTCAGACGACGATGACGACGCCAACGTCATACCAATATACGACCGCAAAATTTTTTTGCGGTCGTATAAAAAGTACATGGAAAGTACACTAAAGTTAATGAAGACACGGGATTTCTGCATTATAACCCAAGAATATAACTGATTATTGTGATAAGTTCCAAGCTTAGGTATATTATCACATGTAATAAGAGAAACATGCATATTGATTTTGAGGTTGGCACCCCTAAAGACAAGGTCACAGAAACTTAAAGTAGATTGAAATTTAAGCAGAAAAGGATTTAAACAAACTTTGCATGACTCGATTTTAAGGACATTTTATTTGTTTTTTACACCATTCTTTAATTTTTGTATGTAAATGGACTCATCAGATGTTTTCTACCTAGGCAAGAGTTAGATAACAAATATGAACATAAGCAAACCGCAAAGAAAAACAAAAAGTACAGTTACAGTATTAACTTGCCAAGTATATTGTTCTTCAGAAACTTTGGCTTCAGTGACTTTTGTAAAGCATCTGAGGAGGATAACATTTTGTAAATGTAATTATGCAATGATAATTTTTCTGTTTTGAAAGACATTTTTTTAATTTATATTGTAGGAAATATTTCTGTCTTTGCACTACTTGATAGCACTGATAATAATACCCCATGCTACTAAGTAATGAGGGTATAACCCTTGAAGAAATTTACTTGAACAGAATAAAATGAACAAAATTGAATCTAAATAAGCTATTAAAGTACCAATCATGTGAAGTATATCTAAAAAAGTTCAGTCTTTTCTTCTCAGAATGATGGTCACCATGTGAGAGCAAAAGGCTATATTAGCCTGTCAGATGAGCTTAAAAACAAAGTCAAATGAAAAAAAAATAAATGGGGAATGTGTTCATGGGACACAGATGATGCCCCCGCTTGCATATCATATAAAGTTATAAAGGGACATAAGTCACATAACTGAAGAACAGTAAAAGTAACGCTACCCAAATTTGTACTTGATCTGAGTTTTGTGGTAATAAGTATTGTGTATAAGTCTCATAACATTTGGTTGAGGCTAACTTAAGTTAGAAAACAGAAACAAAAAATTCAGCAATTTTTCCATTTGTAAACAGGCATAACTCTTAGAACGGTAAAAGTGTCACCACCAAAATTCAAACTTGATCTGTATTTTGTGTTAATTAGCATTGTGTATAAGTTTCATAACATTTGGTTGAGGCAAACTAAAGTTAGAGAACGGAAATGAAAAATTCAGCAATTTTTATGTTTATAAAGGGGCATAACTCAAGAAAGGTACAAGTGACGCCACCCAATTTCGAACTTGATCTGTATTATGTGGTAATAAGCATTGTGTATACGTGTCATAACATTTGGTTGAGGCAAACTAAAGTTAGAAAACAGAAACGAAAAATTCAGCAATTTTTCCATTTGTAAAGGGGCATAACTCTAGAACGGTTATAGTGACGCCACCAAAATTCAAACTCGATCTGTGTTTTGGGGGCATAAAAATGCACTCAGCCTGGAGCAGCTGGATATGACCACAGAGGTCGAACTCTGAACAGTTGGGGCAAGTATGGATACAATATTCAAGCTTGATACAGCTCTGAATTTGGATAGTGCTTAAATATTTGACACAATATAGATTTCTGACACAGAATAAATGTGGTCAGATAACTTAAAAATTTGAAATCAGACATTTAATCTTATTAATGGTCCAATATCCAAAATCTAATTCCATGGTTAGATTCAGCATATGAAAAAAAAAAAACATGGATTCAAACAAAGTTTAATTCTGGACTCTTTGGACCTTAATATGGACTAATTTGAAAACGGGCCCAAAATTAAAAATCTGTATGCATAGTCAGATTCAGCATATCATAGAACCACAAGAATTCAGTTTTAGATGAAATCAAACAAAGTCTAATTTTGGACCCTTTGGACCTCAATGTAGATCTATTTAAAAATGTCCAAAAATCCAATATAGTAATACATGGTAAAAACCTCCAACAATTCAAGACTTTAAATTAATCCTCATTGAAATGGGTTAAAAGATTTGTATTTATTTTCAATTGAAGATTTCTTGCTGTTGTGCAATACTTCGTAAATCTGTTTACAAACTAAATATAATAATTTACGCACCCTGTTTGGTGTGTATCTCCTGTCATATCAGTATTTGTTGTTTCTTAATATAGATCAGAAATAATTTATGTTAGAACCAGCTTAGCCAGTATTAAAAAAGTCTTGTTTTTGGCCCCTTTTTGGCCTCTAGTTTCTGAATGATTAAAGCCACAACCCACAAAATCGACCCCAACCTTCTGTGTGTGGTATGGAAGCTTGTGGTACAATTTCATAGAGATCCATTGACTAATACTTAAGTATTTGTCCAGAAACCAGAAAAATCTTGTTCCTCCCCTCTTTGTGGTATGGAACCTTGTGTTTCAATTTCATAGAGTAATACTAAAATAATTGTCCATTAACCAGAAAAACCTTGTTTTTCCCCCCTTTTTTTTGCCCTTAATTCCTGAGCAGTTTGGGCCATAACCCCCAAAGCCAATCCCAACATTCTGTTTGTGGTATGGAACCTTGTGGAACAATTTCCTAATTAGAGATCCATACACTTATACACAAGTTATTGTCCAGAAAGTAGAAAAATGCCTTTTTTTGCCCCTTTTTGACCCCTAATTCCTAAACAGTTGGGACCATAACCCCCAAATCAATCCCAATCTTCCTTTTGTGCTATTGAACCTTGTGGTTAAATTTCATAGAGATCCATTCACTTATACTACAGTTATTGTCCGGAAACCAAATGTATTCGGACGACGACAACATGATAGCAATATACAAAATAGGGTCCTAAAAAAAAAAATGCACTTGGGGTATAAAAATTCAAAAGTCATAGGAAATCATTTTTATTATTTTCCCTTCATGATGTGATTGTACATGTGCACAAACAATTACAAACAAAACTGATAAACACAGACATTATATCCCAATACCATCTCATGATTTGATGTAGAATTACTAGAAATACAATAGAATTACTAGAAATGCAATAGTCCTTATTTTGATACCAAAAATCATCATTAGTAATGCTTTAATCATTTAAGCATATTTTTCATTAAAAAAAATATTTTTATGCATCTATCTCATTTGACAGAATCATATATGATGGCAAAAACACCGATTTTCCAAGTTCCAACCAAATGATATGTATTTCAAAAATGAAAATATTGATTACACATAAAAAGTGTATTGATATTACAGCTTGCCAAACTAGTGCTAATCAAATAGCTTTAAAGACTTATTGCATTGTGTTAAATCATCTTGTTTCTAGGAGCATCACAATATTGCAAATCAAGTTTTGAGAAGTTTGGCACAAAAACAGTTTTTTTTTTAAATCATTAAATCACAAAACTTTAATCAGATTATTTCCATGAAAAATTGTACAAATGTATAAAATGTTCCATATTCTATGAATTAATAACTCATTTTTTAGAAATATCAATATCTCTGGATTTAATACATCAAATATCACAAATTTTACACTGACTTGCAGTTTTAATTTAATCCACACAATCAATTATGCATGAACCTATTCTTCCATTAAAGAAATAACAATTCTTTTGCAGTAGCAAAATGATACTAAAATTTATATTAAACCATGACAAACCATGAAAATTTTACCCAATGAATTTATATGGAAAAGATGGGTTAAATGAATGTCAGGAAATAGACTTTACAGCGTGATAAAGCTGCGAGATTGCCTTAATGGCTAGTATTAAATGTCAACAGGACAATATACTTAAATATCATACTTCACATTATTCCTATCAGTAATAAGAAAATCTATATTGTACATAAAGGTAATCATGTTACATGACACATCAACTGCAGTTGCAGTATCATTTCAGATATCACTTCATTTAAGATTCAATTTCATATTTGTTGCTGCTTACATTTAATGATCATTAAAATCTGAATACATCAATGTCTGTTTCTAAGACAACACACAACAGTTCCACAACATAAATGTACCCCTGAAACTTCACAATTTACAGCTGGAATTCAAGTTTCTCATCAGGATATTCTCTTAGCTTCATACATTTTCATTAAAAAATTAGTTAAATTATCTATAAATTTCAGCTAGAGAACTGTCTACAAGTGTGGAGATTTGTACTTAAAAGTTGACACATATTCCATGTTCTAATTATATAATGATAGCAAGTATTGAAATACAAGTCCCTATATTCAGGACACCATAGTACACTAACTCTGTTCATGTGACATTAAAAAAGCAATGAATAAAAACTTGGTTATAATTTTTAAATGAAAACATATACCAAATTTAATGATGGCACTTTTTAGAACATGCAGTACCTTAAACAAGCTGCAAGGCAGGCATATGAATGCCTTTATTTGGCCCACAAAATTTTAAGATTTTTTTCATCCAGATTCCTCTCAAAATAATCTTCATTTGATGAAAGTTGCTCATATCAAATTTTTATTTTAACGTCAATGTTCTTTTTTAAAGCTCATTCCAAAAAAAATAATTTAAAATATTAAATAATTATTTAATATCTGAATTGGTGGAAAGAGTTTTTTGGGCATAACAAGGAAATTTGTTTCCATATTCAAGGTTTAGAGTTACAATTCACCATTGTTATGTAAACTATAAAGTAACTCAATAAACTTTTAAAAATCAACAACAGTATATATATATTAAACATTACAACAGCATTATTTGTCTCCATTAAATTTAAACAAAATAAATAAATAAACTGAACACAGATTTTGAAACCAAACAAATATAAAATTGTTCAGGTTATTAGCGTCAAAACTTTCTGTTGGTTTTTTTACTTTGTGGTTTAAATTATTCATTTGACTTTAAATTATGACAATAGATTGCCTTAATCATACATATTAATTGTTTTAAAGAATAACAATTTCCGTAAAGTATATCCAAACTTATCATTTATGCAGTAAAAATAACATGATTTTATCCTAAAAAAAGTTTCAAACTTATTCACTGACACTTTTTAATACAGAACATTTTCTAAAAACGTAAAATATTATCTAAATCAACAGCTTTATTTTCTGGAGAGCACACTTTTCATAGTCTGTAACATAAGAAAGTTCTAATTTTTCCTTTCTCCAATGGCTCTGAGGATATGCAAGAAGAGGTTAAGGATATCCAAATACAGGTTAACAGATGCAACAATATATTCCTCTGGACTGTGTTTGTGCATCAACATGTGGGTATCAAAAATGATGAAGAGTGAGAAGACCAAAGCACCTCCAATACCAATGGCTTTGTCCATCATTGGTGATGGGAAAAACAGCTGAAAATACAATATTGACAAATATTTTAGATACTGTAATGGGTTTAAATGAATATAGTGTCACCATTTTATTTGGGAATAAAACATTTACCAATATTTAGATGAGTCATAGAGAGAAAATATTGACATAGAGGTCTCTATACACAATAGCTCCACAGAGCTTTTGTTAATTGAAGCCATATCAATCATGTGTATCAGCAGAAAATAATTTTGACAAATAAAAAGTATGGGTAATTCTGAAAACACGAATAACAGCGCCTGGTAATGATTCATAGCCTGACCGGTTTTGGTCCTTTCTGGACCTTCTTAAGAGGCACAATGATGAATTGATAGTGGTACTATATTTATAAAATGCCTGTAAGTTATCACTTTCCGGATAATTATCTGTTAAGTTAAATATCCAATGGAATTTTCTTTAGTTACGGTAAGTTAAATATCCAATGGAATTTTCTTTAGTTACGGTAAGTTAAATATCCAATGGAATTTTTGTCCATGGGACACAGATGATGCCCCCCCTGGCATATAACGTTATAAAGGGACATAACCCAAGAACTGTAAAAATGACGCTACCCAAATTTGTACTTAATCTGAGTTTTGTGGTAATAAGCATTGTTTTTTAAGTTTCATACCATTTGGTTGAGGCAAACTAAAGTTAGAGAACAGAAACGAATATTTCAGCAATTTATCCATTTGTAAAGGGGCATGACTCTAGAACAGTACGCCACCAAAATTCAAATTTGATCTGTGTTTTGTGGTAATAAGCATTGCGTATAAGTTTCATAACATTTGGTTGAGGCAAACTAAAGTTAGAGAACGAAAACGAACATTTCAGCAAATTTTCCATTTGTAAAGGGGCATAACTCGAGAACAGTAAAAGTGACACCACCAAAATGCATACTTGATCTGTGTTTTGTGGTAATATGCATTGCGTATAAGTTTCATAACATTTAGTTGAGGCAAACTAAAGTTAGAGAACGGAAACCAATTTTGGGACGTACGTGCAGACGGACAAGGGAAAAACTTAATGCCCCCTCCGCTATGGAGGGGGCATAAAAACTCCTTGTTCTATGATTGGGTTGTCATGTTTACAAGAATATTTTAAACAATAGTATCTTAGTATTTGTATCAAAATTTATAAAAAAATTACCTGCATTATGCCTGCAATGATCAAAATCCATAAAGCTGCAAATAACCTGAAATAAAGAAGCAAAATGATTTCTAGTTCTAGTTGTTTATAGTTACATACTTGGGTAATTAATACACCAACCATGCGAGACCCACATGGGTAGTCAAGGTCATTCAACACCCCCTAGCAGTAGGGCAATTCATTATGAAAGCATACTTAAACCTTCAATTAACAATGAAATAAACTGTAACATTAGGATCATTATGATAATAGATTTTTTTAAAAATTTTTAAGCTAAAAGAACAATTTCAAGGTCAAAAATCCTGAATTTTCCTTTGAAATGTTAAATAAAATTCTCCGCAGGGCGCAGCTTGATACGACCGCAGAGGTCGAAACCCTGAACAGTTGGGGCAAGTATGGACACAACATTCAAGATTGATACAGCTTTGCATTTGGATTGTGATTAAATATTTGACACAGCATAGGTTTCTAACACAGAATGAATGTGGTCTAAGAACTTAAAAATTTTAAATTGGACATTCACCTATTATGGTCCAATATCCAAAATCTAAATACATGGTTAGATTCAGCATATCAAAGAACCCCAAGAATTCAATTTTTGATGAAATCAAACAAAGTTTAATTTTGGACCCTTTTGACCTCAATGTGGACAAAGTTGATAACGGGGCCCAAAAATCAAAAATCTAAATACATGGTTAGATTCAGCATATCAAAGAACCCCATATATTCAATTTTTGTTGAAATCAAACAAAGTTTAATTTTGGACCCCGATTTGGACCAACTTGAAAACTGGGCCCATAATCAAAAATCTAAATACATGTTTAGATTCAGCATATCAAAGAACCCTAAGAATTCAATTTTTGTTAAAATCAAACTAAGTTTAATTTTGGACCCTTTGGACCTTAATGTAGACCAATTTGAAAACTGAACCAAAAATTAAGAATCTAAGTACACGGTTAGATTCGGCATATCAAAGAACCCCAATAATTCAATTTTTGATGAAATCAAAGTTTGATTTTGGACCCTTTGGACCTCAATGTGGACCAATTTAAAAACGGGGCCCAAAATCCAATCAAAGAGCTGAAAGCTCTGAGGAAAAATGACGCGATTGTCTATAATATTAGGATATTTTTGATGCAAGTCTTGATTTTCACATAATTTACCTACTGAATCTTAGGAGACTTTTCAGTTCATGGTAGGTAGGCTAACTGACAATAGAATAGATATGAATTATTTTCAATGTCTATGGCTTTTTTATTTGTTTGTCAAAATATAGATATATGTGTAAAGTGAAGATGACTACTGGTTGTTTCTTTGTACAAAGAAATAGCTCAAGACTACCTGAACGATCTACAATATTCAAAGTAATATGTGAATTTGTTTCTTGCAATTTCATTATTCTTAGTCAAGGATACAATAACAGACTATCCCCTTCTTTTTAGAATTATTTAACAAAATGATTATGATGAGCCTGTAGTAAGCAAGCTCTTATACCCCACATAGTCCTTATTTAAGAGATAAGTTACAAGTGATCTAGTGACATTGTTATTTCTGTTACTTGAAGCATGATCCATTTCTGTAGATTTAGACAAAAGTATTGTTATACTAGTTCTACAATTACAAACATAGTGACACCATTTATACAACCAAATTTTATTGTTGATATATATATATAAACTGAAATCTTAAAATGACAACATAAATAATGCAGAATTTTTTTTTTTTTCAAATGATTTAATGTTTGTTAGTCATTTATTTCAAATAATTAATCCGTACTAAAATAAGGAGATGTGGTATAATTGCCAATGAGATAACTGATAACTATCTACCAGAGTCCAAATAATGTGGCTGTTGGCAGTTATAAGTCACTTTACAGACCTCAACAATGAACAAAACCGGTTCATTGTTTTCAGGCACCATAGGAAAAAGAGGAGTTGTGGCTTGGTGGCTTACAAGAATATATAAGAAATATTATAATAATAATCATGATAATATAAATAAGAAAATAAGAGAGACAAAAAAGACAAGACTAAGCCACTGGACTATAAAAAAAAATGTCCATTACTAATCCTTAGAGGAGCTGCTGATCTCAATTTAGAAAAGAAAGATGTTGAGGACTTAGCCAGGGCAAGCAGAATTTTGAGACTTAGGAACAACAGACTAGATGTGGGGACACCACATATATAGGCCAATCTGCCCTATTTGCTGCCACCTATTAAAATTAATGCCTAGGGTGGTAATTAAACCCATGTGCATTTAATCTGTTGTTCTCTATGTACATATATGATATATATATTAAATGCAAAAAATGTAGCTGTAATGTAAATATGGTAATTTACATCATTATAGCCTCATTTTTTTATAAGGACCTAGCTAGACCTATTTCTTAGGCAAGGTGTATTATATAACTCTGAAAGCAATACAATCCCTTTGTAAATACTAATTATATCTGCTGTTAAACAATAATAACAAAATAGTGGTTATTTCTAAGTATGCAGTAACAACAACGTGCATTTTAAGTAAACAAACATCAATGAACGACCACGTGTTTGTCTGCTGTGCTTGAATTATTAAACAACCCACCAGCTTTATTTACATGAATTTTTGCTGAGACAGACGGCTAAACATGTCTGTTTACATTATAAGTTTGGTGTTATGACTTGTGTATGCATGGAAATATAATGAAGATAACATTGATTTTTACCGTAAAAAATTGAATACACAACATTCCAGAGATGTACTTACCAAACACATACTTCTTTTGTAACGATGGATGGTAACGTATAGCCACTTATATAACAGTAAATGTAATTGGATAAGCTACCCGAAACAATACATAATTTGCATTTTCGTGGCCGGACACACAATTGTGTCAGCTTTTGTTTGGATGGATAAAATGTAAACATTGGAATCCGCCGTTTTGACGTAGGAAACAAACAAACTTATTTTCAATCTTGGATTAAAGGACATTGCGCACATTTCCAGCATATCATGCATAATCAGTCATGTAAAAATATATCTTTTAATTTGTTTTCTACACTTACTATTCTATGTTTAAGTTAATTTAATGTTTAAATTTCCAACAGAACAGAACATAGTTCTCAAAGACGAATAAAAAAATATAGGTGGAGCTGTTTATGGGCGTGAACATTTTACATACGGGTAATTTTTGTGTCGACACATTGACCTTTATCTGTCAGATTCAGGCGTTTGCCGTTCCGCGTTGGTATAACCGTATTACTAATTTTCGATTCTTCAAAACTTAGTAAATCTTAATAAAGAGCAGTATCTTCCATATGGATATCAAGATGATTCCGATTATTATTTTTTTAAAGATTTTAAAGTTCAACTGACAAGAAAGGTTGACATTCTTTCAAGAACTATTTTGCCTATATATATAGCTAGCGATTGGTTATCATTGGTATGTAAAAAGTCCAAAACCATAACAAAACGGATCTATTTATATTCTGATTTTTTATGGATTGTAAAGACATGCACATAAAAGCGAAAGCTCGTATAAATATGAAAAATATACCAAAGGGATAGCTCAAAATACCATTTAATAACAATAAACATATGGACAGGTTAAGAATGAAATTCTGTATAGTACATAATTATGTAAAATACGGAACAGAGTTCGGAAAGCAGCTTGGAAGCGGTAAATGACTTCTGGTCAGCGGTATAGGAAAATTGACTGCGTCATTTTCCAAAAACTAAATACACGGTTAGATTCAGCATATTAAAGAACCCCAAGAATTCAAGAATAAAACCCCATTGAAATTGGTCAAGAAATAAGCAATTTATACGAAGTATCTTCTTTTGCACAATACTGTGCAATTAAATATTTCTTGCTATTGCGCAATACTGTACAATTGACAATTTCTTGCTATTGCGCAATATTGTGCTATTGGATATTTCTTGCTATTGCGCAATACTGTGCAATTGAAGATTTCTTGCTATTGCGCAATACTGTGCAATTGAAGATTTCTTGCTATTGTGCAATACTGTGCAATTGAAAATTTCTTGCTAAGGCACAATACTTATTATATAATAATTTACACATCCTGTTTGGTATGTATCTCCTTCCATATCATTATTATTTGCTTTTAAATATAAATCAGAAATAACCAACTTAAAATGGAAAATTTTAAAAGAAAAAAAAAAGGAAAAAAAGAAAAAAAAGGAAACCCCCCCCCCCCCCCCAATTTTTTTGAACCCCCTTATGATTCATCACCCATAAACTCAATCCCAGCCTTCCCTTTGTGGTATGGTACCTTGCAGTACAATTTCAGAGAGATCCATACACTTGAACACAAGTTATTGTCTGGAAACTAGAAAAATGTGTTTTTTGGCCCCAAATTCCTAAACGTTTAGGGCAATTACCCCCAAACTCAAACCCAGCTTTCCCTTTGTGATATGGAACCTAGTTGTACAATTTCAGAAAGATCCATACACTTACACACAAGTTATTGTCCTGAAACTAGAAAAATGCTTGTTTTTTGCCCCTTTTTGGCCCCTAATTCCTAAAATATTGAGGCAATTACCCCCATCATCAATCCCAGCCTTCCCTTTTGTGGTATGGTACCTTGCAGGACAATTTAAGAGAGATCCATACACTTGAACACAAGTTATAGTCTGGAAACTAGAAAAATGCTTATTTTTGGCCCCTTTTTTGGCCCCCAATTCCTAAACGTTTCGGCAATTACCCCCAAACTCAATTCCAGCTTTCCCTTTGTGATATGGAACCTTTAAGTACAATTTCAGAAAGATCCATACACTTACACACAAGTTATTGTCATGAAACTAGAAAAATGCTTGTTTTTTTGCCCCTTTTTTGGCCCCATATTCCTAAAATTTTGAGGCAATTACCCCCAAAATCAATCCCAGCATTCCTTTTGTGATATGGAACCTTGTGGTACAATGTCAGAGAGATCCATACACTAACACACAAGTTATGTCTGGAAGTTACAAAAATGCTTATTTTTGGCCCCTAATTCCTTTACTGTTGGTACCATAACCCCCAAAATCAATCCCAACCTTCCTTTTGTGGTATTGAACCTTGTGGTAAAATTTCATAGAGATCCATTCACTTAAACTAAAGTTAGAGTGCGAAACCCAATGTGTCTTCGGACGATGCCAGACGACGACGACGACGACATACCAATATACGACCACAAAATTTTTTTTGCGGTCGTATAAAAAGAGAAAAAGTTAAAATCTAATTTGTTGGAATCAGCGTATATTTTAAGTCATATTTAAAAGGAACAGCAGACTTATCTTGTTCTTATTGTGGCAGATCTAGTCCTTTTTTTATATGATTATTAAATTATCAAATACCAAGACTATCCAATTATCAAACATAGTAAGACTTATTTGGACATACCCTGCTCCCATTGAGCTGAAATCTCTCTTGCTTTGTAGAGTATATATGGTAAGGCCAGCGGTCACAGCAAATGTCAACATAAAAGCTTCAATAACAGACTGTACTTCATAAAATGTAACTGAAATATAATAAATGGGAAAATAATCATCAAGGAGACAGGGATGTATAAACTCAGTCCTTTCAAGATGTCAGTATTTACTATAAAATAACTGTATTCATGACAGATTTACCAAATGAACATTTAATTAATCAAATGTTATCTCTTTACAATGAGAAGTTTTCTGCATTTATTCCATAATACAAATTTTCAACTAGGAAACTTTAACTGGAGTGAGTCATGCAAAGTCAACACAGCCATTTTCTTCCGACCATGAAGGAAAGGAGAAATTGATTGAGATTGGCAGCAATAACATAAAAGACATAAAACAAAAATACATAGAGATAACTATATGGTCTTCGATAATAGACATGTACATGTACCTACACCATAATGTCAAACTCTAAATTGTCTAGAGTCTGGACAAGTTGTGAATGAGCTCAACAGACTACCACAGATCAGTTATCAACCCAAAATTCCTTCATCTCATGGATTGTGTCTCTACAGATGGAACTGAATATTTCAACCTCATACATTCAAAATGATAATGATTTGTTAAAAATTAATAGCTATTGAAATAAAGAAAACTGATAAAAACATAATTTTGTTCTCAGCTTTTATAAATGTTTTAAATCGCTTTTATTGAAATTAAATAACACACATATATTATCTGACCCACTTAAAAAACAAGCATTCTGTGAGTATTGCATAGCAATTCATAGTCCCCCACCAGTTAAAAATTCATTGTATTGGAACAAAATTCTAACTTGATCTATAAATTGTCATAGTGTAAACTATTTAACAAATATCAAGTCAATATCTTCAAGAATGACGAAAAAAGTGTTGAAAACTGATTATTTAAGTGAATTTTCTAAGTCCAAGGACCATAACTCTGCACAAAATCATCAGACCGGATCAAAATTCAAACTTGAACTGTAATTTGTCATGATAAAACTATATACCAACTATCAAATCGATATCTTCAAGAATGACCAAAAAAAATGTGGAAAACTGATTATTTTAGTGAATTTTCTAAGTCAAAGGACCATAACTCTGCACAAAATCATCAGACCAGAACAAAATTCGAACTTGATCTGTAACTTGTCATGATAAAACAATACACCAAATATCAAATCAATATCTTCAAGCATGACCCAAAAAAATGCGGAAAACTGATTTGCCGGACTGACGGATGGACAGACAGAGTGCAAACCTAAAGTCCCCTTCTACTTTGTCGGTAGGGGATTAATAAAATGAGCATGTGGTGGAAGATTTCCTGCTCCAAATGTAATTACATCAGTCAATTCTGTAAAATTGACTACTAATCATCTGTTAGAAGATCTATAAGAACTTTAATTCTCAGCTACCATCTTCCTAATACATATTACTGTGGATTCAATTCTTTCAAGGGTATTTTCATGGATTTCATGGGTATACAGTATCCAAGAAAAATACTATTTTTCCTCAATCCACAAAAATAACTGTATTAACAGTAGTTAACATTCTAATACCTACCAACTACTCCTACACTGTAAGCTTCCATTACAGTCTGAAATAAAAATGCAAGTACTAAATGATCAAATTTCAAGTTTACAGAACTCAGTTTTTTATCCTTTTAATTCAAATACTTTTGTAGTATTTTTAATTTTTTTTAATTCAAAAATCCACTTATAAATATCAAAATACAATGCTTTATTCTTTTTATTTCTTCTTTCTTCACATAGCACTGTACAACAATGTATAAGCTACAAAATGTAATAGGTTATAGGATTAATTGTTTCAGACTGCTGACAGTTCTTCATTTTAGGTAAAGGTCCTTCAACCATTAAAATAATTACCAAATTTAACAGGTATTTTACCAAAAGACTGTTAGACAGCACTGTTTAACTTAAAAATTCATTTTAAAAAATATCTATGAAGTATTTCTGCCCACTCATTTTTGGGGATTTATGCATTATTATTATCCTATTTCCTGTAAATGACAAACAGAACTTTTCCAATTGTTTTTTTTTTTGTGTGTGTGATTTTGGCGCATTAAAACACTGGTGAAGTGTTTTAGAATCATTTACTTACATTTTTAAATTCCTCTTGATGAAAGAAAACAGGTTTTTCAATGAAAATATTGCAACCAACCACACACGACTTGAAAATTACAGTAGTTTCACTGGACATTTTAACAAGAGACAAACCAATTTTCCTGATTTTGTGTCTAAAGGGTGTGTGGATAATGTATAACTACGAATTATACATGACTTCCCACAGTAATATGAACTGCTGTCGATTTCTGATTTAATAAACAGCTGCGCCATGAGCGCATGATACGCCCGTCGTCTTGTGTGTGAATTTTTATGCAATAAGCATAAATAGTTTCTGACATACAGCGTGACATGCGAAAACCCCTCTTTTTTTTGTACAAAAAACTCAATATCTCTAAAATAAAATTTTGAATCAAAACCAAAAAGTATACAGATCTTTAGATTAATATAACTAAGAAGTGTGTAAAATTTTAAGCAATAATCATAAATCGTTTTTGAGATACGGCGCCACATGTGAAAAACCCCTCCCCCCTTTTTTTTTACAAAATACTCAATAACTCAAAAATAAAATTTTGAATCATCACCAAAAAGTATACAGATCTTAAGGTTAATATAACTAAGATGTGTGTAAAGTTTTAAGCAATAGTCATAAACTGTTTTTGAGATACGGCGCGACATGTGAAAAACCCCTCCCCCTTTTTTAACAAAATACTCAATATCTCTAAAATAAAATTTTGAATCATCACCAAAAAGTATACAGATCTTAAGATTAATATAACTAAGAAGTGTGTAAAGTTTTAAGCAATAATCATAAATTGTTTTTGAGATACGGCGCGACATGTAAAAAAAAACACACACCTGTTTTAGTTACTAAGTCCCGTAACTCAAAAATTTTTTAATCTTATTATCACCAAAAAGTATACAGATCGTTTGACCATCATAAGAAACAACTATGTTAAGTTTCATGAAATTTGGATAAGTCATTCTCAAGTTACGGTGTGACATGTTTACACTGGACAGACAGACGGACGCCAGACATTGTATACCATAATACGTCCCCTCAAAAATTTGACGGGCGTATAAAAATTGGGGACATTCTAATAATTTGCACTAAACTTGCCATAACTGTACATCTGATAACGTACAATTATGTGCATATTTATCCAATAAAACATGAAATGGCAGGACTTCCCGAGTGTTATGTTAATTATGAAAATTTTCCATCAAAATGTCAGTGTGTATTCATGGATACTGATTTTTTATACCTTGAGAAAGTTGTTCACTATTCTTCTAGGAAATACAAATTTCTACTGAACAATGAAATTGATGAAATAGAAATCAAAATTTTTTAAAGAATTTTCAGGCATTTGTATTTTCAATAATATTTGTAAGACCTGTACCTAACATGATTTCCAGAAATAAGTGATCTAATTCTTTTACATAAAACTTTAATCAACATCACAACACCCTGGCCTTGGATGAGTAGTAGTATACGAATGTTTTCTTCATGTACACATATGGCAAATGTAATATACCCTTAATTTTCTGATGGAAAGCTACAAAATGTGTTATTTCATTTACTTACAAAAGCTGTCAAAAGGATATAGTTGGTCGGTGTCTGATGTCTGTAAACCATCAATGCAAAGATCAAACCCAGTGAACCAATCAAGGCAATCAACAACATCCAGTTACTAAAACATAATAATATATAAATACATACCTGGCATTTTTTTCATAATTATTGAATATTCATATAAATGTACATGCCACAGTGACATAATATAAATGAAGAAATGCATTGCACCAAGTAAAAAATTGAAAGTGCTTTTGAATTGAGTGATCCTACATATATTCATTTACACTCTTACAACCAAATAATGATACTTTAAAAATTTTTGAAAAACTTGTGATAGACCTGATACTGGATCATGCATTGTCATTGAATAATAGTAAATCCAATACAAAGTTTCAGCTAAGGATTGTCAATTTTGAGGTGGAGACTCTTTGGAAATCTTGAGATTGAAGCTTCATATGTATCATACATTTTTCCATCCAATTTAATAAAATTTTGATATTGTGGTTTCCATGTCTCTTGAACAAGCAGGCAATTGGTAAAACAAGTAAAATAATAAATAACAAAGGATCTAGTTGTATAGCTCTTGTTTCTTTTGCCAAATAAAGTTGACTTATAGGCAAGCAATTTAAACCTGTTTTCTGCCTGGCCATTTTTGTTTATCTAAACTATCATTTTTTTAAATGCTCTCTTAAAGGGGCACTAGCTGTTCAATTCATGTTCACCGATTTGACTCAAATTCTCATATTTGTTATATAACAATGTTAAACATTTATAAATCCAAATTATAAAAAATCTAAAATAAACAATTTACAGGGCATAGGGTCGATAATATGTAGCTTCGTTTTGTGTGTATTTTAGTCTAAACGCCATCTACCCGGTAATTAACTGTCGAGTTGACCTCCCGAAAACCACTGATGCCCATATAAGGGATATAAACACAAATAAAGATATAAATAGATAGCGCAACTCGTGCAATTGTATTCTTCTAGGTCTATTTAATTTCATTTATAGATTAAAAATATATGTTAATCATCATTTTTACCTGTATAAGAATGATTTTTTTGAGGATCGTCTCAGTCAATTAAATGAATTACCTTTGTTTACTTTCAATGTTGACATTCTTTTCCTTTAAATAATCAAACATGCACACAATTCATGCATTATCCAACTCTATCTAAGGGGTTAAATTGAAGTTCACATGAAAATGGATTCAATGAGGTCGAATTATTCACTTGCAAGTGAATAATTCATCATCAATATTTATTTGCTTATTTTGACAAAATTAGACAATACTGGCTACTAAAAGCGAATTATTATTTCACTATTCCACTTTCATTAATGATTGAACAAAAAAAATCATATTTCACAATTTTTTTACATCTCGTAGCTAGTGCCCCTTTAACATGTCATCAAAGTTTTAGTTTCACAAATTTATCCTGTGTGGAACCAAAGATGACAAATTAGTTTGTTTCTTATATTATATATTACTTTGTCTGAACAAACTCTGTGGCTGTAGAACTGGAATAAATCACACCGGCTACTATCGTACTCAGTAAAATCTGTGCTGATAAAATTCCATACACTTTCCTTAGAAATCCTGTAAAAAATCAACATGATCAAAGTTCGATTAGTAAATCATGCACTTCATGTTCTTAATATAACAGACAACTTTTTACTCAAATCATCAATTAACGTCATTTTAACTTTTTTGTACCCTACATTTGTTTATTAAGTTGCTGGTTCCATGGTAATTAGGCAGCCTAAGACTGGTTTTCTTTGGTATTTTTTCAATTATAAATTGGAGCAAATATGCAAGTTAATACAATAGGTACCAGGTTAGGTTCTACAAGGTAGATCGACTTGGATGAAGTTTAGGAAAAGACTATGGAAAATGACTATGAGGGTTATGTTGATTAGGGGCCGAAATTTTTGCAACTAACCACCTACTGACCCCTCCAAGATGTTGCAAGGATCTTTAATGTGCAGCTGGGATCATCAGATTCACCCTTAATGAGGCATCAGATTCAACGTTCCCATGGCTATGTATTTAAACATCCAGCACAGTCAAACCAATGTCCCAATTAAGCAAAGATTTTAATGTCAGACAATAGAAGTCCCGGGATGACCATATTTCTATATAGCTGTCAACCCTAGGGGTCACTATCATTTATTATTATTATACTAATAGATCTATTTTCGTCTTTTGTACAAAATGTATTATTGATATAATAATGTAAGTCCATATAAACAAATTCCTAGATTTTCGTACCAGCAACAACTTTTTTTTTATCTTGGCTTTAATGGCTATTTTCTTTGTTTTTGCCTGATGTTTTCATAAATTATGACAATAACTAAATTTGCCTGCCTCTAAATAATGAAAAAAAAATTATGAGAATCTAGGATTTTTTTCTTATGGTCTTGGTTAGATTTTTCCACAACTTTTTCAGACTTAGCAATTAACAGTTGATTGTTAACATAAACTCTGTTTGTTATTTCATTTTGTTGGTGTGTTAATGTCTCATTAAAGTATACCCTAATTCTCCTTTTATAGTATCATTTTATATGATTGATTGGTGTATAATGCCATCTTCAGCACTATTGTGCTATTTCGTGGTGGTCAGTTTTTATTGGTAGAGGAGGCCTTTTCTACCATTGTTCAACTTCACCCTAGCATTATCAAATAGTACCATAAGGAAATAGAATTGATTCTCCAAAATTATAACACCCCAGTAATATATAACTATAATACATTCTATTATTACATCTTTTCAGATAGCACCATGCTATAAGGCCCTTGAGAGAACACTGTCTACCTACCCATACGGACATAAACATGAGCTGTTGCAACATTAGATCCATACATGAAATCATCCACAATGGATTCTTTCCCATCTTTGGTTTCCACTGGACTAAACATTTTTCTTTTTTAATTAATCTACAAAATAATATAACTGTTAATATGATACAGATTTAAGAGATAAGATTATCTAATTACACAACACTGTTCACTGTTAAATTAATTATGATTAAACTGTTACCTCTAATAAGTGAAAACTTGTTGTGCCAGGTAACCCTATACTTGTGAAGATTTAACCTTTTTCTGAGCTTTAACAGCAGAAATCTGTTTGATTCTGTAATACTGTACATACATATTGACATGTAACAAGATCAAAACATTTTTTGAGACATTATCATGATTATGGACATGGCAGAGTAAAAAATATATATGTAAAAAAAATGGTCAACATCGATAGTTGTTCAAGTACTATATTAAATAAATTTCAATGGACTAGTTTTATTAATCAATACCTTTTTTCATTGCTGAAATATTCATCGGAATTGGTTTTTGTAAACTTTGAAGCATTAAGAGTTACTGTCAAAACATCTTAACCCACAAAGAAAAACAGAAAAGCTAAAATGATCTTTGAAATATTTCATGACTTACAAGTGCCAATCCATACCAACTGGCTTCATTGCCAAATCGCCCCAACTTTCTACCAACTTGCCCACTTATGAAAAGGGTTTAAATCCTGCTGAATTTAGGCCAGCAAACTTGCCCCACTCATGATAAGAGTTAAATTCCGCTGAATTTGGTTTTGCCCTAAAATATAGTTTAATCCCAATGGTTTTAGGCCTTCATGTACCATCTCGTCCCATTTCAACCTAATTCTGACTTGTGTACGAGTCTCATAAATTTTGGATGAGACAAATTTAAGAATGGAGAAACGAAAGCATTTGAAATTTTCCAAGTTATACAGGGGCATAACTCTAGAACCATAAGTGATATACTGCCCAAATTCAACCTCTGGTCGCTAGTTTTGGTTCTTACATTGTAGCATTGTGTTTGAGTTTCATAACATTGGGATGAGGAAAACTTAAGTTAGAGTGCAGAAACAAAAATGGGACTGAGGGACAGTTAAGGGTAACGCTTAAGGCCCCTGTTGCCTAGGGCAGAGGCATAAAAATAAATAAAAATTATAAGCACATTATACAGAATACACAGCTCACATATAAATAAAATACATGCACATGTGTAGGATGGTGAAGTCTTTTTCCTGGTAATTCCAAGCAAACTGCTTTGTTTTAGTGTCTTTAACCATGATTACAAGTTCAAACAATTATTTGATTTTAATAAATAATTTCGATAAAGATGGACTCAATACTTTTCATGCTTTTCAACATTCAGATCTTGTAGATTTATGTGAGAAGGTTAGATCTGACACTTTGTACATGTATATGCTTACAAACTTGCAAATATACATTTTAAAACACCAAGCTACATTTTTTTCTAGCCAAATTGAACAGATGATTACTTGACTCTTTTCGTAGGTGCCAGCACCGATTTGACTAGACAAGTCACTAATACAAGAATTAGATCTTCTATTTAATAAGTGCATTTTCCCACCATAATTTGAACTCACCCCCAAAATATTCCATGTCCCCTGAAAGACCTCAGGGCTCAGGTCAACTGAGGCAGGTCATTCATAAACTTGTCCATAGAAAAAAGGTACTTTCCCCAGTTATGGGTATTATATCCAAAATCTGGTATCAACTTACAGTGATAAAAAATTGAATGTTGTATTTCATTTAAAGGCTATCATGGGACAAATTATTAACATAAATGGCAATCTTTTCCCCTCATAGTTCAAATGAGAAATAATGGCCTCAAAAATCCTACTTTTTGATGCTATTTCAGTTATGGGGTCTTTTGGCGAAATGTTGTCATTTGCCATTTGTTTATCTGAATGTTTATGCCATGACAGCGAATATCTTGAAATTCAAAGATTGTAGTTTTATCACTGAAATTTGATACTTGTTTTGGGGTATAGTACAGTGCAGTCCGGTGTATATGTGCACCTACGACTTTTGGCTTCACTTTTGTAATCTCATGAAACCAATTATCTGATAATATTCTGTGAACAAACTCGTGACATTCTTTAATTTCATGAAATCTTCTTAATGTATGGTTTCAGCGTGAAGATTTTATGTAATGAGTGTCCAATATTAGGGAAACCTGTTTTGACAGTTCTTCAAATGTCTTCAAATGTCCGGTGTTTTCGCACAAACCTTCATAAAATTGCTACAGGAAAGATTTTATACTAAAAAATATAGTTCAGTTTGAACCAAACAGACTGCCAAGGACGCAGAGCAAAATCTATTTCGTTTTGATAAAAATTTGACGTAAAATGAATTCAATTTCAGCTGATGATGTAATTTTTTTTATGGAAAATGGTTAATTATGGTTAATCATAGGATTGCAATTATAAATTTATGCTTGAACTTATCAATTTTTAATCTTTTTTGTCCCTTCAGAAGACTTAAACAATTACAAGAACGATTCTATTTGTGTTACATTGCATATATGACAGAATCAGGTAATGCGTGATATCACTTGCCACACAGACACAGGGGATTCCACTCTTCCCTTTTGTAGGGATATTCCTCAACCGGTTAGAGCTGTTGGGATTTGAAGGTCAGTTATTTTCTATTATGACTGTACCCAGACAGCAAATTTAGATAACCAGCTCTTTTATCAGAATCCTAATAGTGATAAGGTAAAGTAAAGCTTATCTTCATATATAGGCCTAAAATGTACCGTGTCACTTGAATATTTTTCTTGTCAGAACTCAGAAACTTGAAACTTTTATTAATATAAAGAGTAATTACAACAATAACATACAATGTATATACAATAACAATGAGATAAATGGAATGACATGGTTACATACACAGTTGAATAAACAAAGTACATGCTTAATGAAGTTTACAGTGGAAGGCAATTCTAATTTATAACAAACAACATTTATCTAATTAATAACAGACAGAACAATTTTACAAAATTTGGCAAGTTTGACAATTAAACTGTAGTCATCAGAACAAAAAAGTTCACAATATTTAATAGTATTTGGCTTTTTATACACATTACAGGGCAAAAATCTTTGTCTTTCACATGAGAAAAAGGTACATTTAAACAAATAGTGGAATTCATCACCAATTTCACATAAATTGCATAAATCGCAGATGTGATCATCACGTTTGACACCCCAAAAACGACCTTGTTCTATTGGAATTGGTAATTTATGATTCATACATCTAAAATTACAATATGCCTTTCGCAATGTTTCGCAGATCATATCTGGTAGATCAACAGTATATCTTTCAAAATTATGAATAGTTATAAATATTCTATAGTTTAAACACTTAGCTGAATCATAAACAGTAGTAACCCATGTTTGTTTAAACTGATCACAGACATTGTTTGACCAGGTTTGATACGATTACATTTTTTGGTACACTTTGTGACATCCAGAACTTTGAAAGACCACAATTATTCAGGTTTTTTTCAATACAAACAATCCATTTTGAATGAACATTTTTTTTATATGCATGTTATATAATAACTTATACAAAGTAGCAGCAATTTTATCTTGCTTATTGGAAATAATTCTTTTCCAGAATGCAACCATTCTGCTTTTGATAAAAACATCAGGCTTAAATTAAAATATTGTTTGTTTGCAGTTTACCGACCGACCTTCGAAAATCCGCCCGACTGTGAACATTTTATTGCTTTTAATTTGAAGAAATTATTTTTAATACTTCTATTGACTCAATCCGGAATTTCGGGTCGTTTCCGTAATTGATTTCGAGTCTACGTCAATTATATGTTTGAAGTTCGGTTTTTCTTCCCTTCCTGTCAAGCGTACATCGGACCCTTTAATGGTAAAGCACATGGAGATAGTTTACAGGTATCCACGAAGTCATGGAGGAGTACTTTATTCTGTCGTCTTCTGTCAATTTAAGACAGATAATACACAGAAAAGTTTCATAGTAAACTGTTTATACTGATTCAGGCAGAATTGCACACGGAATGATGTCTTCGATGTCAGATATCATTGACGATGATGCAGCGGATATTCATAAAACCAACACGATAACCGTTTCTGTCTCAAACAAATCGGATACAGAATCTTTTGAGACTGACTTTATGGAACCAAATGCAATATCAGTGGTTCAACAATCTGACGGCAGCCTGAAGTATGCCATATTTTTTTAAATCGTCGTGAAGACGACAAAGATGAAACCACTCCTCCGTGACTTCATGCATGGATACCTGTAAACACGCCTGTACGGTGGAAGGACGCATTTGAAATGTTCAATCAATAAGAAGCCACACAAACTACACAAAGATGTAGAGAAAATGAAAGGTTGGCTTGAGAAATAAATATATTCTCTCTGTATCAAATCTATCATCCATTGCAATGAGTATGCTCCTTTAGGATAAGGGGGGGCTGTCCCACTCATTGCAATTATTCTCTCTCTTACAATATTAAATATCAGTACCCAAACTGTGTGGCCTGTGTGAATTGAATTGATATATGTCCTTAGCTAGGAGCTATGCTTCCGATTTTTTTATGCAGTCAAAACATTTCAGTACAGACCATTTACTTTTAATGGGGTGCTATGGATTTCACCCCAAAGCTAGTCTTAAGATTTTTGTTTGTTATTATTAAAGCCTGGCATCAACATATCTTTCCAAATATAACCTTTATATAAACAGTCAGATGTCTAATATATTTTTTTAAGTTGTCTTTTTTTTTCAATTGAGGAAGATTCAATGGTCGATTTTTTTTAACACACTCCTAAATTATCTTTAATATCTACATTTTTCTGATGCAAATACTCTACTCATGAAAACATTCTGGTAAAAATGAATATGTTTCTTTACAACAAGTCTAGTCATTTCTTGTTTATAAGTGTTCCAGTATTTCATAATACCATAATTTTATGTCATAAATTGTATAATGCACTATGTTGACTTTCAGTTTTGGTTAAAAAGGTGTTTACCTGAAAATGCCTGTTCATTTCATGTTGGTTTTCAGTGTTTGTTGTTTTAAAATGTTTTTTTCTTCACAAGAAACTTGGTTTGTGTTAAACTGCTTGTTTAAACTTTATTCTGGCTGATAAAATAAAATATTTTCCCTACCTACCGACCCTGCAGTCTGAAGGTACAGTCGGAAAACTGCAAACAAACATATTTTTAAGGTTGGCCTCAATACGACAATAGGAAGACATTACCACATAGAGGATTGATTCATTGTTGGTTAAGGGAATGATTATACAAACATAAAACCTTGCTCATCTATAATGTAGACTTAACAAATTGTGCCCAACTGTATATATCGGTGTATCATTTTTATTTTTAGAAGTTTTACCTGTTGAATGTTTACGTGTTTTCCTTTTAGGTTTTTGAAACCGGATGTTAAAATAAAAGAAGTGCGGGACTCTCTATAAACCGAAATTCTCTAAGAATAGAAAGCAGAACAACGTACCTATATGTGATTTTTTTTTTACAATGAATTAGAGATCTACATTTTAATTAATATACAGTATGAGTTTTGTTCATTGTTGACATATATAAGGCCGTATGTTAAAACTATAGTTGTTTACATCCAATTTAGGACTCTGATTGATCGTTGTCTCATTGGCATTCATACCACATCTCCTTATTTTTATTTTGTAAATCATGTTTATTCAAATTCATTATACGCCAAACATTGGAGATATCAGTTTACACAAATCAGATAAATATAATATTCGTTTCAAAGCTTTTCATTATTTCCATCAGGAACATATATATATATTGACGTTAGATTATATCTATGGATATACTATACTGTTCCCAGTTTCCCATATACCTTTCAAATTATGAAACTGTTTTACGCGTCAAATAAGTGAACACAAATCTTTTACTCAGTAGCCATGAATTTTGAGGTGGGTTATCACTAAATATTTTCTTAGATAGAATTTTCTTATAATTTGCCAAAAAGTAGATTTCACCATGCTTTTTCAAACAAAATAATAAAAAAGTATGAGTCACCGTGAAATTTTTCAAGCTACAAGTTGTGCAAAATTGCACAATTTGCATAGATTATTCATGCAGGAACAAAAACCTCATTTTTTGTGAATAGGAAGAAATTATCAGATACAAGTTCGAAATAAAATATGAGAAGATATGTCTAAAAATAAAAAAATTGTGTTACTGAAATATTTTTCTTGCTACAATTAAAAAAAAAGAAAATTTCATGAACATACCTCCTAATAAAATTTTTACTATAAAAGTAATCTCCCCTGGTGGTTCAAAAATTTAACCGAACAAAAACAAATAATTAGTATTTGTATTAACAGTCTGAATAATACAATTAATTACTTTTTTTTATCTAAATAAACAGTTTTGCGCATTAATTGCCATTCTGTCTCAAATTTGAAGAAGTTTAAACACCCGATTGTGTAATGCAATTTTACAATCCAAGATGGCGATATACACTTATCTACTTTAACAAATTTTCTATATGAAGTTAAACTCTGTTCAAAAGTTTTGATTTACCGGCATCTCCACCAAGAAAATAAAGATAAAAAAGTTTTCATTTTATTATAACGATACAATTTAATATTTTCTAAAAAGAGTTTATTTTTTGAGAATGATACATCTTATAATTATCTTAAATTCTCATTATATATATTTCTAAAATATGACTGAATGCTTAAATAAAAAGTTGCATTAAAGATATATCTAGATGTTCTACAGTGTTCTAGTATGAGTCGCCTTTTTTCGAAATCATAGATCCGCATCTGGTATGAGTATGTGTAAAATGGACCAAATCAGGAGACTTTAATTCAGTCACGGGATAATTGTCATTGGTTGCTGTCTGTCATGTTTGTTTTTGTTTTTCTGCTTTGTCACAAATCAGGCCATTGGTTTTCTCGTTTGAATGCTTTCACATTTTGTCATGCCGGGCTATTTATTACTATTCGGTATGGGTTTAGCCAATTGTTGAATGTCGTACGGTGACCTATAGTTGCTTACATTCATCATTGATTATTTAGATTCTGGTGGATATATAGTTGTCTCATTGGCAATCATACCAAATCTTCTTAAATTTATTTTATTATGAAGAGTTTAACGCAAGTGGTACATTGACATCCAAAATCGTGGATGAACAAGTCCTATGTTTACTTTTTCGTACCGTTGTAAAGGACTATAGACCTCAGTATAAATTCAAAATAATGTAACTGCGTAATATCAACTTATGATACTGATTCCCGTGAGGACAAAACGTGTTTCTAAAATAACCTTCATGAGATTAAAATTGTGGGAGGCAAAGTTTATGTGACGATTAGCAGCAAAAAAAGGTATAAACAGAACAGCCAAAAATCTTCATAGGGTCAACTTTGACTGAGGGAGTTTCAAACTTAGTTAAGTACAATTAAATAATTTTAATACTATCAATTCATGCCAGTACAATTGCATTGACTATACTGGACGGATTTTGGTACCTTCGGTGTCTGATAATTCACAAGCAGCATCTCAAGGAAAGAAGCCAAACTTTCACGGGACGATATTAGTCACAAACATATATTCCTATTTGAAATAAATACAAAATCAAAGCAAAGAATGTTTCTCAACCTACTCACAATATTGTTCCTTTCAATTCTAATTTCTACGTAGATGACAATACAAATAAGGTCAATGTCATGATTTCATTGTAAGATGAGAATTCTATATAATCTTGTTTGACCTTTTTTCCTTTTTAAACGGTAAGACATTTAAAACAAAAATAATATAAAAAAAAACAACCCAGAAAATACCAACACATCCACAATCAATTTTCATGGGTTTTAGTTGTTCTGTATATATAGACTCAGGAGGTTAGACATTTGATCATTTGGTGATTGATAATACTTGGTGTCAACTTTGCACCTGATGACATACTCAAATAGCATATAACTTGAAAATCCGGCACTAAGAAAAAAACACCAAAAAATAAAACATAAATATCTCTTTTAATGCACATTTTAGTATAATTTCTACAGGATGGAATTTTAGCAACTGCTTTGTACCAAAGCGTATGGGAAGATGTAAAATAGTAATTTAACTTGGATTCTTCACACTTTCATCACGGTGGGTAAGGTTGTCCTGCGAGAGAACGTTCTGTGCTGGTGATTCGGTCCTGACTGGTGCTGGTGGGTCCTGATTCTGTGCTGGTGGGTTTGTTTACATTGTATCAGAACGGCAATAAAACAACCGTTCTGTTGCTTAATTTTTCTCTGATACATCCTAAGTACCATGCGAGGAATATTACAACGATTTTTTATTGCAAAGGTCGTGCAAATTCGCGAAACGAAATTGTCCTGATGACGTGCTGGTGATTAGAAAAACGGTCCTGGTTCTGTGCACCTTTGTCCTAGTTCTGTGCCTTTATATTTTAGTTAAAAGTGGCAAATATTCAAGATCATTGATGCAGAAAATTTGTGTAATTGATAGAAAATATACCTAGCATATATTTGGTGGATATATATTTCATATGAGCAAAGTTGAGTCTATTTTGTTTTAATTTGATTTTTGAGAGGGGGTGGAAGATCTTTTCTGTTGAGATGTTTTAGGCATTTTTAAACTTTTTTTTAACTGTTATTTTGAAGATATATGTGCTGTTAACTGTTGTTGACTAATTAGCTGTTATCTGTTTTCTTAAAATTGACATTGTTGTGAACTGTTATTATGAAAAAATTACCCCTGTTTATTGTTTTTTTTTGATTTTTGAATTCACTGTTTTCTGTTTTCTCATTTAACAATGTTTAAGATAATTTAAAATGCTGTTCGGTTATCAATATTTTAAATCTACTGTTTAGGCCTATCTGATTTCAGCAAAATAAAAAAAATATTGACCTGTTATTGGAACCCCTCTTGCCCCCTTTTGAGATAAGAAAATATGCATATGATTTGCGGGATTACGACCCTTTTGCATGACCATCAAAATACGGTGTAAAATATCCAATACCTATATAAAAAAGATTATGCGATATGCTTGCCAATGGACAAATTTCCATCGGAAACCAAATGAAGTAGGTGTTAACAACTATACGTCACCGTACGACCTTCAACAATGACCCGAAAAATCAAAATGTAAAAGGTTCTGTATAAAAATGGAGAGCAAAAATATAGAATAAAGGACTTTTTTTCTAATAAAATTGAGAATGGGAATGGGGAATGTGTCAAAGAGACAACAACCCGACCAATGAACAGAAAACAGCCGGCGGCCACCAATGGGTCTTCAACACAGCGAGAAAATCCCGCACCGGAGGCGGGCTTCAGCTGGTCCCTAAACAAAATGTGTACTAGTTCAATGAAAATAGACGTCACACTAAACTCCATAATATATAAATGAACTAAAATTTAAAAACATACAAGACTAACAAAGGCCAGAGGCTCCAGACTTGGGACAGGCGCAAAAATGCGGCGGGGTTAAACATGTTTTGTGAGATCTCAACCCTCCCCCTATACCTCCTCTAGCCAATGTAGAATAAACAAACACACAGTAATACGCACTGTTAAACTCAGTTTAAAAGAAGTCCGAGTCCGATGTCAGAATAGGTAACTAAAGAAACTAAGCAAAATGACAATGATACATAAATTAACAAGGGACTACTAGCAGTTACTCCCAAGCCAGCTCCAGACCTCAATTAAACTGATTGAAAGATTATGTCTTCATCATATGAAAATCAAGCACAACCTAAGTTGATTCTAAGTTGATCACGGCAAACTATCTGGTGAGCCTGGACACTTCTTAGATGAGTTTAGATAATTAATTCAGTGTAGCCTAAGCATCCTGGATATTGTTTCTCTGACAAATTTGTACGATGCTGTAGATACTTTTCTTCTTATTCAACCAAATGAATCTCAGTCTTGTTTCTGCGCGTAATAATCATGTGTCCTCAGCAGCTAAAATTAGATTTCTTTGTAACAATTTAGTCTTTACTAAAAGGATGACAATAATATTGCGGTTTTTTTTTTGGGGGGGGGGGGGGGGGGGATAGCTTGGAATAGTTTTGAAATTCTAAAATTGTTGATAAAAAATAATTTGATGCAGATGATCAAGACAATTTTATTACTGCAGATGATAATTTTACCGTGAAAACATTTTTCAAGAGGGGAAGGGGGGTTTCCGTAAGATTTAAAAGTTGTACTTTAAAAGAAAAATGTATCTATTAGCTATTAAGCGTCATTTGCTGTACCTTTAAGCCTTTTGTCAACATAAAATTATTGTCTGATCTGTTGTCAGGGGGAATTTTCGAAATTTCAATAAAACACTTAAAAAATTATTTAAATATTTCATGGAAGGGCAGACTAGAATTTGCCAGAGAATGAAGACTAGTAGATAACCTAGATAACACACACACAAAAATAAGATTTTTTAAGTTATGCATTTTTAAGATCCAAAAGTAAAGTCTG